TATTTTATTATTTTTCTACATTAAAAATTGAAATGCTTTGAATTCATTTAATTATAGAGAGTGAGTTTGGTTCTTCAAATTTGGAAAGTCAAACCCACTCTTTAAATTAAATTATTAATTTAAAGAGTTTTTTGAAATATGATTTTAAAAGTTGACTCTTTAAAATAGAGAACACAACATGTTTAAGAAGTGTCTTGGAGATGCTCTTAGTACGTCGCCAATGGAGGGTGTTTTGATGTTGTAAAATCAGGATAACTTTTAAGCATCTTGTGAAGGTTTAAGCCATTAGAGATATCATATTATTAAAATTTTCTTTCGTGGTTGAGAGAGGTGAGCTTGTTTCGTTTGAGCCCTCATATTACCAAAATTGTCAATTGTAGAAGAATCGGTTTGTGAACAGTAAACTAAGCCGAGTGTGAAAGGTCATGTGACAAAAATGAATAGTAATCCCAAAGCCACTCTTTTAAGAGAGAGAGAGAGAAGGATAGATATACTTCCAAACAAACATTTATTTATGTGAATATAATATTTGAAGCATGGGTTGGGGTGCAATTGAAAACCTGATGTGTCCCATTTGTTTGTGTCCTCACTTTTTTTTTTTTAATAATATGGCATACTATTTAGCTCCAACAGATGAGAGTTAAAATTAGACTTTTAATAAATTTTGATAAAAATTAATGAAATGTGCGATTTAAAAGTTATGAATCCCATAAAATACATAGTTAAAAATAAAAGTTGACTTTGAATTGAATTAAATTAATCCCTATCCAACAAGGGCTAAATAACCGAGAATAATAAATAAACTAGTAGAGTACATTACCAGTGATCTTACATCTAAAACAACGTCAAATAGAGGTAATATATAAGCGCATGATACATTACAAATGACATCACATCTGATTATATTATGTTGTTAAGAGAAAATCAAGGTTGGTTTTACCAACCTCTTCCATGTAGTGTGATTATATATCTCTAACCTATTTGAAGTTGTAAATTTGAGTCTTGTGTTCAAATTCTCCACGTGGACGTTAAATATTGGGTCTCTAGTTTTAAATGAAAATCTCTTGCAATTTTATCGTCCACGTCAATTGTTGTAGTCATGTGAAAACATATTCATAGACGTAAAAATGTAGAAATCCAAAATTCACTTTTAAAAGTTGAGATCAAAATAAAGAACGTTGTTTAGATTTCATTAATCTCCTTATAAAAAGATTATAATGAGAAGAGTAATGAATTATACATCACTTATAAATATGTAGTTAAAAAGTGATGGATACAAAAAAAAAAACGTGGAATTAAAAATGAGGTTTGATTATTTATAAAATGATTATATAATTTATACAAATAAAGCATAAAATTAAAGTTTAATTTCCCTAGAAAATTGTAAGTTAGGTAAGATCACAGCAAAGTGGGGCGGGGCGGGGTGGGGAGGGGGGGCGGAGTAGATGTCAACTCCCCGTCCCCACCCCTCACACACTTGGCCTCATCACACTATATGATGGTGTCCTCAATCTGCAATTGAAAGTTCAGTTTCTGAGCCACCGCCTTCAGCCACTACACCCACAGCTTGCTCACTCCACCGCCTTGTTCCGCCGCTCTCCACCCCTAAATACCCTTCAAATTATTGCCGAAGAGAGGAAATGACGAGAAATTGAGAGTGCAGGATACAAGCAATGGAGTCCGCTAATAACGTTGTTGCGCCATTTGTTATGAAGACATATCAAATGGTGAATGATCCAGCGACGAATGGAATTATTTCATGGGGAAGAGGAAACAATAGTTTTCTCGTTCTGGATCCTATGGATTTTTCGCAGAGGATTTTACCGGGTTACTTCAAGCACAACAATTTCTCAAGCTTTATTCGTCAGCTCAATACCTATGTGAGTCAATTCTTCGCGAATTGTAATAATTTCATATCATTATGTAACTTTATCTTATAAATATGAACAAAAATGAGTACCATCGTAGACAGTTATTAATTTCAAATTGTTATTTGCTCTGCCTATTTGCCAAAATCTAGAAATTTAGGATTTTATTGTTTGTTTGATTTTCTCTTTGCCGATTACATTGAGAAAAAGCTTCTGAGTGGATAAACATGTTGATATCGGGATTCAAATTTTCCAGTCATCCATATGAAAAATTGTGCACGAGTTGGTTTTTTTCTTTTTCCCCCCGCTTTTTACTGATAGTTTTGGGACAATAAGCTTTGGTATCTGCCCTGTGGCCTGTGAGACATATCTTTAATTCACAAATGTTTTTAGTTGTAGCCTCCCCTGAATCAAGATTTCTTTGCTGATTCCGTTTATTAAAACAATTTCTTGATGAACACTTTATTGAGCAATTTTTAGAAACAACTTCTTCATATGCATAATGTTGCTGAAATTGTAGCTTGAATAATTTATTCAACATAATCTGAACTCAGTTGCTGCCTTAAATGTAAAAATATCATTAGTCTTGATTCTCACCGGAGTTCTGATTCACCAGGGTTTCAAAAAGGTAGATCCAGACAGGTGGGAGTTTGCAAATGAATGGTTTCTACGAGGACAGACTCATTTGTTGAAGAATATATTGAGGAGAAAGAATGCTAATAAACACTGCGTTTCGCATCCTGAACACACAGAAAATGAAGATGAGGAGCTATTTATGGACATTGCAAAGTTAAAGCAAGAACAGAAGACCTTAGAACAAAAGCTTGAAAGCATGAATAAGAGGTTAGAAGCAACAGAGAGGAGACCACAACAAATGTTGTCTTTTTTGTACAAAGTTGTCCAGGATCCAGAGAATTTACCTCGCATGAATCTTGAAAAGGAAAATTTGAAAAGATTGAGTTGTAATAACGGTGAAAAGAAGAGAAGGCTCATTATGAATTCAGCTACTTCATCACATTCTTTATCAGGAATGGATTTGTCAAATTTTTCTGTCAAGACCGAGTACAAACAAGAAGGTGCTGCACGAGAAGAAATATCGAAAATATTCTCCCCTGATGCAAACTTGGATGTCGATAAGGGTTACAAGTCTTCTTCATCGCTGGAGGCATCATCCCCTGAGTGGGTGAGCCAAACATCGATTACTGATACGCCTGTTATCAACCAAAAACCTGAGAATTGTGCCAGCATTTCTAGTTCTTCGACGATAGGTTCATGTGACGGAAATGGTGGTTTCGTAGTTGCACCACTAGTTAATGGTATTGCTTGGTATAATAAAAGGGGTGGAATGAACTCCAGTTACCCTGAAGGGGTTTTGGATAGGGAGGATGCTAGTCAGCCACCAGCATATCCATTCTCTCTGTTTGGTGGTGGTCTTTAGAGTTAATAGTTATTCTATTTCCCCTTTTTCGTGTAATGAAAGTTCCTTGTGTATGCATTCTACATGTACTTCGAATTTCGAATGTATATTTTCATATATATGCTGTAAATACTTGTCATCACCTTGTATAATTTCAATATGAATGAAATTTAGTTAGATCGTTACACTATCTGTCCATCCCCTAAAAGTATGTTTGGTATGGAGTATTAGATCGAATTGGATAGTATTGTGAATGAGATTTTACCTTATTTTTCTTCCTTTTTATTTGTTTTGAGAAATCTATTGAGCAATTCCGATTCTTTCTTTTTCTCTTGATTCTTTTCCGATCGAGATGTATAAATCACGCTCATGGATTAACAAAAATATGTAAAAGCTCTATTTGCCTTTGTCATTTTATAAGCCGTTCGTGGATTAGCAAAAATGTGTTAAAAGTTCTATTTGCCTATGTCATTTATATAGTCTCTTTTTTTTCGTATGGCATCGCCACTCGATTATTTGTTGGTTAGTCAAATTCCAATGAAAACCACGTAATTTAAAGAAATAAAACCAAATTTGAGATTTATAATATTATCATAAGGGGGTGGCCATTGTGAACTTGCATATTCATTCAACTTTGTTTGGATTCTATGAAAAAGATGCGTAATAGCAACAACTTTCCCTATCTTCAAATTTCCCTTTGTGACAAGATAAGGTTGCTTGACAAGGTTGCAGGAAGCACAGTACAACAAAAGAAAAGATTGTTCCTTAAACAAAATCAAGACATCTTCTGATGAAGGCATCTCAACCTTGACATGAGTTAGATTCCTTTGTTGAAACATAAATCTTTACACAATACTTTTATTCTTATTCTTAACCCTATAAAACCTAGTCATTAAGTCATGGTATTTAACCAAAAAAGGGTCTATTTTCCCCACTTTTCTCAATCTCTTTTCGTTACAAAAAATGAACCCAACAATTGATCCGGGAACTTCTGAATTTACGAGTTTCATGGCAGGACAGGCAAGGATTCTAACATTTTCACATTATAGTATTATCTTCGTTCAATTTAACATTTTCCCGATATCAGAAAGTTTGTCCGAATATTTTCTAGTATCAAGGAACATGTTAATCGGTCTCTATATGTATTCAAGAATCTCGCATGACTGCTTATAATGGCCATACAACCGGCTGCTGAATTTGAATATGTGAATTCTTTTTGAGGAAACAGGTCTGGATGGTGATGAGGGTTAATCTTGACTGCAATTCTTGTTGCAGAAAAATGAGAAGAATCCTTCTCAAACTGAAAGGTACTAAAGCTATGTTAATGAATATTTTCTTTTCTTTTGATGGCCAATTAATAATCGAAACTTATCTTTTTATTTTTATTTTTATTCATTGCATTGATCGAAGAGATTGAGACGCACTCGATAGAGAAGCAATATTGCAGGGTAATTGTCTGTGGAAGGTTTATTCCAGCAGATGTTGCGATAAAAATAAGGAAAAAGATGAAGCGTAGAGTTGAGATTCTGGAAACTCAAGTATACAGCAATATTGATGGACATACAGAATAAATGCCGGGCCACGTCCCAGGCCATATCCTAACACAGCATGCATAGAATTTTCTGAACTTAGAATTCCATTGAACAAACTTGTGTATATGTCTCCAAGACAGAATGACAGAAAGAGATACCGACTGATCCATTAGTTTCCAAAATTTAGTTGTAAATATGTATAATTAATAGATGATTTATGAATTCTGTGTGCAGCTGCAGTTCATAAATAGATCCATCCCATTACATAATGCATACAGTTTTTGCATTCATACGGAGAAAATACATGGAAATAACCTTTTCACTGTTGTGTATTTCCAAAGTGACATTTGACTAGAATATAGAATAAAAAAAAAGGTCAAAATATAGGTTAACCTAGAAAAAATAAAAAATATCCTCACTTTGTCAAAAGGAAAGCTCTCACAGACGACACCCTCTCACCGTCGACCGACCCAAGCAAATCACGAAACCGACCACCTGAAAATCGGCAAAGAGGTCACCGGCAACTTGAAAGGTTGGTTGGTGTCATTAAAATGGATTTTTCATAGATAGGTTTTTCATA